ACGGGTCTTTGGAGGGCAGGCTCGTCGCCGCGGCGGAGGCCGCGGCGGCGGTGCGCATGTTTTGCGAGGCCTCCCAGATGATTCGCCCGGCGCTGCGTGCGGCCTCGATCGCCGCCGCGAGAGCCTGTTGCAGGTTGATCTCGATATCCGCAACCGCCGCTTTACTCTCCGACATCCGTAATAAACTCGGAGAAAGGTTCACAGATGACTTCAATAAATAGGGAAAAAAAAAGATTGCGCTATTTCTATTGGAACACTTCGATATGCTATGGTGAGCTCGAGAAAAACAAACAAAAAAACTGCTAGGACATAGAAAACCATTCTATGATCCATATCCATTCCAAAATACCACTCAGGACGGGAAAAAACATACTCATTAAACTCCCTCCCTCCTTAATCGGCGAAGCAACGTTCCTCCCCTCTTTCTATCATCGGCAAGTCGTTTTAGACGACCCTTCTCTCACCTGGGCTGCGGGCGCGTCCGTGAGGCGTTGCTGTTAAACCCATTTCTCCTTTTCGTTCGTTGCGAAGGGTTTCTTCGATTTGGATGAGGATGAAGCGGCGGTATGGATGCGCTTATGTTCTCCATCGCCGGCACGAAAACAAGCAAATCCCCCAGCCGGAAGTTCCCAGCCGGTGGGCCTAACAACGCCTGTAAGGTAATATAATCCGTCGAGGTAAAGTGCGGTTTCCGAAGTTTCAGGCTACCAATAGGGGCGATCTTTGGCTGACGATCTACAACCCCAGGGGAGACGCGTAGAACGCGAGCCACCTGTGGAAGCTCGGCGGGAATCTTTTCCCTTGTTTGCATCCCTCCATACGCGACACCCTCGCGTGGTCGTTTGGGATTTCCAGGCAGGAGCACCCGCCTTGCCGCGGCGCTCCTCGCCAGCACCGTTTCCAACATCTCCCGCAGCGTGGAGTCCCTCCAGATATACACCGGAACGCTAAAAAGAACGGGAGGGGATGATTCCAACGTCTTCATCCCCCCACTTACACCGTGTTTTTCTTCCGTTTCCGTCGCGTTTCGCTCGCAATCAGGGGTGGTTTCCACCAATTTCTCCGTGGGGTTTGCTACCGACGATGGATCGGGCGGGATGGGGGTTTGGAAGGCCTCGGGCACCACCGCCGCGGCGTTCGCGGCGACGATAATAAGCTGATAATGCGGCAAACTCGCCGGAGGAGGGGGAGAAGGAGGAGAAGACGCCAACGCGAGGGCTGACTTCTCCGCCGAAGTCGAGGATTTGCCCCCGCCTTTCGCGAGGTGCCGGCGTCCGCCGCGAAAGGCTGCCTGTCGATCGACCGTGCGATGGTCCGGCGCGGAAATCCAAAACTGCGGACGGAAGTCTCCCGGATAATTCGCCGTTCCCACGTTTCGAACCGTTTTTGAAGACCCCTCCTCCCTCTCAACTTGAGTGGATCTAATCTCCATCAGTTCTTTCCTTTTTTTTTACTCGGTAATGTTTGGTTTAGGTGTATTCTGGTATATATGAATTGCTCTAATAGGATTGGAAATGAGTTCACACTCGCATTCCTTCCAATACGCGATAGAGAAAACATTAGGGGACAAAAGCGGTAAGTAATAACAAAATAGCAAATGAATAATCTAATGAAGAGATACAGTGCAAAGTATCAACAACTTAGCCTTACCCTTGAAGGAAACAAACTGGCCAAGCTTGGAAGCATGCTTTTATTGAAATGTGGCACTGAAAGGGGATTATTGAGTTAAAAATAAAACCTGCAAAGGTTTCATAACGGAAAGAAGCATCTCTCCATCCCAAAAGGGCGACCTAGATGTTTTCATGCCGGCTTTACGATATTTCCGTTTGACATCTGTTTTCAGGTGAGGTTGGCTTATTACATTACTGGTAACGTGTCTGTAGATGTGATGACTTGCACACACATATACGAAAATAGAAATGATAACATGTTCTGTTAGATGCTTTCCTTTTAAATAATATGCAAAAAGGATTTATCTTTGCTGAAATTCCTATTCCTAGTCGTATATTCGAATGAGTTATTGTATTATTGTTATAGTGGTTCCATTATAAGCCATAATGATTTTTAAGCACTTATTAATCACCATTAGTTCATAGGCACTTAATCTTCTTTAAAAATTTTATCCCTTCCTTATAGAAAGCAAAAAAAAAAAGCGAATCGCAAGACCCATATAAATATAGTCAGTGGATCCAACCATCTACATGACCACGCACCCACCAGGGACTATCAAATACCCACTTTCTGTATGAAGAACTCAAAAAAGAGTGAAAAAGCTAAAGAGTATGGACTATTGCATAGATAACTCCGACTCTAGTCGAAAAAAAGACCTCGTGGTATATATGAGAACTGGAGATTGCTTGAGAGGGAAACCAAAGCAACGCAAAAACGAAAATATTATTATAAAAAATTTATTTGAGACGTTTCACTGTAGTGGTATTTTTTTCGTCTCATGCAAACTTTAGCATGCACATTATTACACATGCGCATCTGAATACTTTTTCTCCTTCATCACCATATCAATGACGACAGCAAATTAAGTTACCATAGATATCACATTCAATTGTTAATTGGAAATCCTTAGGAATAAATTTTGAAAAAATACGTAGAGAAATTGAATAATTTTCACATTTATGTATGCATCCTTCTTTGTTACCCTATTCTCCTCTGTTTCTCTCCGCATCATCCTTCGCTGCTTCCCAGAGCTTTGATGAATGATAGATACGAATCCATATTCTGGTAAGCTATTAACATCTGTTTACGACGCTCTTCTTTTTCCTTTCCGTGAGTGTTGGATATATGATGCAATGCTTGATGTCGTCTTATATATTTTCCCTTGAAGTTCAGCTGCATATTGTATACAACTATCTTCCGAACTCTTCCCATATCCGCTCCCTTCTACTTGGTTTCGGGTTTGGATTCCGGAAAGTCCGCTGTGCTCAACGTTTCCTCTCTCCGAAACACTGGGTTCTCGATGCGGGCTTCGCCGCCGTCGTACGCCACCGACGGGGTCCGGATGGAGGCCTCGAGGATGTCTTCGCGGGGGATTAACCCCTTCTCGCGTGCCGCGGCCCATGCGCGCGGCGTCGCCACCCGATTCTTCGCGTTCGCTATAAACGACATCTTTCCACGCTGCTTCATCCCTTGGATTTGGAGCGAGGTCGCGCCGATGAGCATGAGCCCGACGTAGTAGCAAGTGAGCGAGACGTACGTCTTCCACAGCCGCCAATCGGTGAACCCCAACTGCCGGATCACCGAATCGCCATCCGGGTAGACGCAGGTCGGGGAGATCGGATCGCAAATCACCTTCAGCCGAGAGAATTCGTTGATGATGGCCCCGACGTAGGCGTGGCGGGGAAAGGAGATGTACATCAGCCACTCCCAATAGGGCGCCAGGCGCGCCGTGTTGGAGAACATCCCGGCGGTAATGAAAAGCGGCAGCATGATGGCCGGCATCAACGCAAAGGCCGCCTGCACGTCCTTGAAAAAAGACGACAACATCAACCCAAAGGCGGACCCCACGTTCGCGAATAACACAATAATCAGCCAAAACGAAAAGAACGCGGCCGCGCTCCGGTAAAAGTGCATCATAAAATAGCCAATCACGGATAACACGGTGGGAAACAGCACCTGGCAGGGCAGCTCCGACAAGGTCTTGGTGATAAAGAAGATATAGGTGTTATACGTGCTGTTGGCTTGCTCCCGCATGAAGACGGCGCGCTCCATCGTGAAGGAGGTGACGCCGGCGGAGATCGCGCTAAAGAGACCGCTGACGAGAATCATATACAACGCCCCCTCCCGATCCTGCACCCCCTGTTGATTCAGCTTCACGTTAAAGAAGAAGAGACCGAAGAAGAGGGCGAAAATCACCGTCTGAATCGCGCGCCCGCGAAAGGCGATCGTGTCGCGGAAGAACATCCGAAACGCCCTCGCCATCAGCATATAAAATTGAAGATACATGCTCGCACACCGCCGCGCGGCGAGGGCTTCCATCTGGGGATCCGTCATCCAAATCGGCCCTGTAATCGGCTCCAAGCAAGGGTTTCCCGCGCTCGCCTTCGACGCGACGTGATCCTCCCACGCCAACCACAGCTGCGAGAGCATCTCCTCCGGGAGTTGCATGAGATTCATAAAATACTCCGACGGGTTTGTATGCGGCGGCATTTGATACCCGATGGAGGCGAAATACCCCACCGATTCCACAGCGGGCCCGTGGTAGATGGTATGGCCTTTGGCGAGCAGGAAGAGATCGTCAAAAAGCTCAAACAACTCCGAACTGGGGGAGTGAACGGTGGTGATCACCGTCCGACGGTCGTTCTTCGCGAGATCCTGCAGCAGCTGCCCGACGCGTAGGGCGTTGACGGAATCGAGCCCCGTGGTGGGCTCGTCGAGCATCATAATCACCGGATTCGTGACGAGCTCCGCGCCGATGTTCGTTCGCTTGCGTTCGCCGCCGGAGACGCCTTTGAGGATGCCCGGTAAGCCGAGGTAGGTGTGTTGGCACTTCGTCAGGTGAAGCCGCTCAATCACCTCCTCGACGCGTTGATTCGCCTCCTCCTTGCTCACCCCGAGGCGGAGTCGGGCGGAGAAGTTGATCGCCTCGCGCGGGGTATCCTTGCACATCACGATATCATCCTGGCAAACGAACGAGGTAAGAGCCTTGTAGCGCTGCTGGTAGACCGTGTTGTTGAGAAAGCAACACCCTTTCATCACCGCCGAGGAGTTCGAGAGGGAGCCGGTGATGCAGCCGAGGAAGGTGGTTTTGCCCGCCCCGGAGGGCCCCATGATCGCGAGCACCCGCCCCGCCTTGGCGCGGCCGCTGAGGTTGTAAATCAGCGGTTTATAATTGGCTTCGCCTTTTTTCCCCTTCACCCGAACCTCATAGGTGAGGTTTTCCCATACCAGATCGACCTCGAAGTTCAGATGAGATCCACTCAGCTGCCTCACCTTTTCGAGCGACGGACTTTTGTTGATGCTGCTATTTGATTCGTTGCGCTTGTCGGGAATCTCTACCGGGCTGGTCATTTGAACAGCGTAAGGCTCGCTGGAAATCAAGTCTGATTTAGAAACCGAATTTTGAGTCATTTTATGCGATTTTTTCCTTTTTTTTTACCTCACAAGATTTCGTATAAATGAGCCCGTGTAGATGTATGCAAAGTATATATTTATATTTACATATAAATATAAATATAGTGTATAATTATGAAATATTTTGAAAGAAAAATAAGCTACTTTATTTAACGTGAAATTTGATGTACAACTAATGCAAATTTTATTCTATACGCGGCGCTTGTATTCTACTTCGATAGTAAAAGGTATCTTACCTCTTCATGGTCATTGACAAAGATGGGTAGAGGGATATATGAACAAGAAAAGGATTTCACAAAGCCATCAGACTTCATTCCAGACGATAGCATAACAATGTGAGAGAGAGAAATAGCAAACACCACAGTTTGCGTTCCCCCATATCCCGAATGTGACTTTGTAAAGTGTCAACACAAAAGAAAGGGTTCCCATTGTACGCACCCTTTTCCTAATATATATTTATATACGCATAGATACACCTGAATACGCGCAGAGAGTTTTCGCTAAACAAAAATACGGTATTATAAATAGTTAAGTCAAAACCAAATATTCTCGTAAGTCCTATTCCCATGTAGCTTGTCTTCGCATATCACGTCACTCAAACGGGGAAAGCGACAAACGAAAGAATTTCTCAATATATATATGTATTGCATCTTTGCCACTTTAGGTATGTTGTTTACATATTAACATCTCTCACGAGGCTAATAACTCAAATTATAATCTCGATAGCTTTCCCATTCATTTTTATTCATCATAAACAATTAAACAAATTCATAATTACATAAATCATTTCACTTTTAATGCACATCATTGAAAGATAGATCAAGGGTGAGGGGTAGGGGGGGGGGAGGGGAGAGAGGGAGTGGGCTAAATTCAAGCCAAAGATAATCAATGTGTGCCATTGTAAATAATAAAGAAATCAAAATATCGAGGGGAAGAGAAAAACAAGAAAAAACAAAAGGAACAAACACCATACATGCAGCTGATAGTTCTTGTTTGTTCTATATCATATCTGAAAGATATTTATACATATATATAATAAAGATATCCTTTTCTTTTTTATTTAAAAAGAGACACCATCCATTACATCCACCACAATCAGTTGCATATCAACACGAACGATTGAGTAGAATAGCTGATAAGATACATATTTAAGACCATCTTAGCGACGCAAATCGCACGTAAGCCAACCCCCCCCCCCCCCTCCCCCTCATTTTTTCTCTGTCGATAAGTCAAACCCACGCCCTTTCTTCCTTTTCCTCTCCCCTCCACCTTCCCCCCTACTTTCGTCTGCCCTTTGAAAGCTGCGTTTTATTTATACTCCTTCTCAAGCCGAATGAGCTCGAGCACGCCCTTCTGCATCTCCATCACCGCGTCGTGCTCGGTCAGCCCCAGACGGCGCTTGTTGCTGATATCATAGCTGCCGTCTTTGCTTTCGGAGTGCTCCCCGGCGGTCCCGCGCACCTGCAGGCTGTAGCGCTTCGCCACCTCCTCCAGCTTCGCGCGATCCGCGCAGAGATGAGGGAGTTTGATCAGCACGCTCGCGCGAATCGTCGTCCCGAGGTTCGTCGGGCAAAATGTCAAAAACCCCAGCCGATCATCCCGCGAGAAGGGGATTTTCTTCTCGATCGTATCCACCGCCGTCTTCAGCCGGCCGAAGATCTCCTTGAGGTTGCCGCCCTTCTGCATGGAGATAATCCGCAGGTGATCCTCCTCGTTCACCCAAACGAGGAATGTTTTCTTGTCGTTATGGAAGATCCCGCGACCGACCGGCCAGTGCTCGCATGCGTGCGCGGCCTGCAAAAAGCGATCGCCCTCCTTGAAGAGAAAGTGATCGTCAATCAGCCGCTGCTGCGTTTCCTTGCTCATCCCGAGCAACGGGTGGTAACTGCCTTTAAGCTCCCCGTCGAGGTGCTCGAGGGTTTCCTTCACCATCCCTTCCATCTCGCGATACTGCGGCTCCGTCAGGAGGGGGTTAAACGGAAACCCAACAATGCTCCGCCCGCAACGCACGCGCGTCGAGACGATGTACTTCCCTTCCGGATCGAGATCCACGAAGTCGCTCATGCTTCCGAAGTTCATCGCGGGCTGGCGGTCGTTCGGTTTAAATCCCTGATGATAATCCTCAATAATGGGATCAAACAACGGGGCGAAAGTCTTGTAGGACTCCGCATCCGGCGCGTAAACCCCACAGCCGGAGTCGAGGTTCGCTACCCCGGATTGGATCACGTCGAGCAACGTCGCCCCCATCGCGGTGCGGCGGGAGCGAATCTCGTCGAGTACTTTCCGCGAAAGGTATTTTTTCAGCAGCGAATGGCATTCCGGACTGCCCTGGAGCTTTTCATACGCAGCCTCCAGATCGGCGATGGTTTTAGGGGTGGCCATTTGGTTGGATTTCGTGTGGGTTGCT